TGTGCTGCTCTTCCAAGGACTCCATTTCTGCTTTGGTGTCAGTTGTAGGCATTCTTCTGCATGGTTTATCCATTCCGTGCCTGGTAGGGCACCACACAAGTAAAACAATCACATTTTCAACCCAGAGGCGTCGTTATTGTGTGCTTTAAAAACACTCATTCATGCTTTTCAATACGTATTGATTTTCATTTAAAAATCTGATTGTTTACTGAGTCAGTTATCTGGATTGCATAGTGATCGATGTATATTAGAACATCTGTGTGAAATAAATGAAAGCAGCATAACTGGATTGCAGTTTTAGCTAGTTTTAAACAGGACTCTTACGAGGTGGAAGTCTTCAGAGTACTAATTGTATCCAAAATGACCACATAAATTATCCCCAATATTCTTTCTGGTAAGATAATTTACACCTGCTTAAGTTTAGGAAATTAGCATCACACAGGTTCTAATCTTTTGAAGTGTTACTAAACCCACAACAGTAAAATCAGTCTGTATATGCAGTTAAGCATGCTTGTTATACTCGCTGTGGAACCTTAGTGGTTAATCCTTTGCATTGTGTAAAAAGGCTGTTTGATCCTGTCTTCTCTGACCCTCCCCTTCTTCCAGTGTCCCCTTTTATCTCCTGATAAGACATATTGTGTGGAGTCACTCTGCACATGATCAGTTTGGTGTGTATTGCTAGAGAGGTTTTTGTTTTTTTTTTTCTTGGGAGAGTGCATGTGATCAGCACAGGGCCAATCAGCACTGTTCAGACAGAGGGCAGGGGTTCTCCATCCTCCTAGAGCAAAATGGAAACTCCTCCTACAAGCTCTGCTGGACACCTGATAGAAGTCACTCGACTGCTCTAACTGCTGATGAGAAAAGGTATTTAGTAGGTTATAGTTACTAAAATAATTTCATTTCCACGTTCTGTGTATTGTGGTAGAACAGATATAATGAATGCAGGGTCCTGGGTTTAGTAACACTTTAAAATCCAAAAACATATTGGTAGGTAAAGCCCTGCTTCAGCTTTTGAGACCCTCCTGCACCAAAAAAAAAAAACAAAAACACTTTATACAGTATGTTTTCTAGCTGGTTATGCTACTTGTTTTTCCTTCCTATCCTTAGTTGGTGATTGGGTGATCTTTACTCCAGCGCGTGGCATACACGAAAGTACGAACATGTATCCACAGGATGAACAGGACTTACAGGATGTCAGTTGGGTGACTCTGGGCATTCAAAGTAAACCGATGCTGGACTATGGAGCGAAATGTGTTTAACTGCTCAGCAAATTGGTTTTGAAATATATCAAGATCCTAAGTTGGCATTTAAAAATAACACTGTCACTATGCACCAATGCAGGGAGGTGGGGGTTAACATTACTGTCACAGACCTCCAGTGCGGGGAATGGGTGGATGGGGCTTCATAGTACTACTGCTGAGGGTTATTATTGCGATCAGTTACACCAATGCTAGAGTTTATCGAATCCAATGACTCCGGTACTGGGGGTTATTATTGCATCCACTGACTCCATTACTGGGGGTTGTTATTGCATCCACTGACTCCAGTACCGGGGGTTGTTATTGCATCCACTGACTCCAGTACCCGGGGGTTGTTATTGCATCCACTGACTCCAGTACCGGGGTTGTTATTGCATCCACTGACTCCAGTACCGGGGGTTCTTATTGCATCCACTGACTCCAGTACCGGGGGTTGTTATTGCATCCACTGACTCCAGTACCGGGGGTTGTTATTGCATCCACTGACTCCAGTACCGGGGGTTGTTATTGCATCCACTTACTCCAGTACCGGGGGTTGTTATTGCATCCACTGACTCCAGTACCGGGGGTTGTTATTGCATCCACTGACTCCAGTACCGGGGGTTGTTATTACATCCATTGACTCTAATACCTGGGGTTGTTATTGTTGCATCCACTTACTCCAGTACCGGGGGTTGTTATTGCATCCACTGACTCCAGTACCGGGGGTTGTTATTACATCCATTGATTCTAATACCTGGGGTTGTTATTGCATCCACTGACTCTAATACCTGGGGTGGTTATTTTTTAATGAATAATTTAAGCAATGCTGATATTTGATAATAGCTTTGTGAACGTGTCTCTTCTAAAACTCACAGTTAGAACTTCTTTCTGAAAATTAGGAATCAGTCCTTTTGCTTGTTCCCTGCTGGGATTTATTCCCGTGATAATAAAATTATACATTTCATATTTGGAAGAGGTTATTACTTTTCAGAAGTAATGCCAGTGTAATGTGAAATGATCATGTGAAAGGCAGATTACATTTAATTCTTTATTGAAACAGAAGCCAGTGTTGGCCTTGTTCTTGAGGAAATTGTCCAAATTATTTGGGCAAACAATTCATTTTTACAGGGATCGTAGTTTCATTGTGAGAGATTTCTGAAATGGCCAAAATATTAATCCAGGTTGATGAAAAACATTCTAATGGTTCCTAAGTTTTTTTTTGCTGTTTTTGATTCAGTTAATTTCAATGCCTAAATTATCAAGCATGTATAAAAAGTATAGTGGCCATCGATGTAGCAATGTTTTACAGGAAGAGTCGTTGGGAATCTGCTAGTCCACAGTTTTGCTAAGACTTTGCAATATATTTTGACTGGCAAATGGGTGCACTCACTTTCAAGGTCTTTGCACATGGCGTATCTTACCTATACAGAGGCAATTCTGACCTTTTTAGTGTGCCTTGCAGGGGAGTCCATTTGTCTTTGAATGCATAACGCCAGAATAGATAATGACTCTGGGTGAAAAAAGGCAGATGAAGGCATTATCCTGGGGAATGTTGTGGTCTCTGTGAGAAGTAAAAAATGGTGTTAGACCTACACATTAGTCAGACCCATCCACATATGGCGGACTCCACCAGGAGTCCACATGCTTAGTGGGGGATCTGTGCACTGACCCCACTGAGCAGGTGGATGTCTGGTCCATGTCCTCTCCGCTTATGCAGACACAGCCCACTCTCCTCTACGGGCAGTTCTGTTGCCTGTCCATTTACACCCCACTGCCATCTGATCTGCTGAATGGAAGGGGAATGGATCCCCTTGTGTTTGTTATTCGTGGATTAGATTGGATGTAGATGGGTGTAAACGGACACATGTCCATCTAAACCTGCTGCTCCATAGAGGAGGACTGAAAGACTGACAGGTGGACCCAATCAGTCCACTCGTGTGAAAGGGGGCTTAGCATACATGCACATGAAAACACATGGATCTGATTCTAGGTCCACTCTAAACCCCAGTTCACATATATGCAGCCGTGCGAGCCGCGTTTTGCGCGGGCACAAGAGCCCATTCATTTGAATGGACTCTCGTGCCCCATGACATGCAGGGAAGAAGACCCTGCACTTCTTCCAAAAACGCATCTTGTACGGGAACATCGGTTCCCAGTACGGTTGCGGTTTCCAATGCGGGCGGTGTGCCATTAGAGCTAATGGTACCCGCCCCGCGGGTCCGCATTTCTCTGTGCCGGTGGTGCGGCTGCATGGATTTTTGTGCGGATCCGCAGTGGCACCACCCGCACATATGTGAACCTAGCCTTACACCTTCTTGGAGAGAAGGGAAGGCTAAGCACTTGTATTAGTGTACATATTTTCCAACAAATTGGAAATCTCTGTGTATAAGGAGATGATCTGATGATTTGAAGTACTCTCATCGGGAAGGTTGAGCACCTGGAGCGTATACGTTTTCCAGCACACTGTAAATCTGTGTGTTTATGCGGGTTTGTGGCCCACATTTGTGTGGGCACGGCAACACATTCATTTGAATGGGCTGCCATACTTGCGTTTCTTGCAGGAAAGAGGTTCCTGCACTGTTCTACAAATGCAGCTGCCCAGAAATCGCATGGTGCTTTTGCACCATGGAATTTCCCTGCAGTTCCCACACCTGCAAATGTGCTGTGTTTTTAGATGCGCGGGGTTGATTGGCAGCTCCATGCATCTAAAAATGCAGTGCGCCATGTGATATTATTTTTATTTTTTTGTAGAATGGTGCAGGAACCTTTTCCTGAAGGAAACGCAGGCATGGCAGCCCATTCAAATGAATGAGCTGCCGTGCCCACGCATATGCGGGAGGCAAACCAGCATAGATGTGAATCAGGAGTTGGGGAATTACTGTACGGCTTCATCCTTGCCTCGTCATTTGTAAATGCTGCTCGAATCAGGCGAGTCACTGCTAGGACTGAGGTAAGCATGGCCATTGTAAGATTCGTGTAGTATGAAGGTAAGGTGTATGCTTTTTATGAACTTTAAGAAAAAATGTTCCCCCTTTTTTTTGAGATTATAATTTGAGTAAAATAAATGGAAATTATCAAATTATGTTCATCAAAGTTTTTTTTTTTCTATGGTTGTTATAGAGGTAATGTTGAGGACTGCATTTGAGGCCCACCATATGAAGAAAGTTGACCACTGCTGGTCTCCAGTATTAACGCTCAGTAACTTTAACAAAACACCTCTTTTAATGAAAACCAAAATCCCTCGCTTTGTGTCTTTGTATTTTCAGCCTTCGCTGATGAGCTCTCAGTGGACGGTTTTGGCAGCCAAACGTGCATGTCTCAAAATGACTATCCTGAGTTCTTGTGCCTATATGTTTAAAACCTCCATGGCGATCCGCTACTATTTACAGCTGTCTCTGAGCTTGTTCTAGTCCTTATTGAACTATAAATTCATCCAGTGTCAAAGCTATATTCTCCAAATATGATTACACTCTATGGAAAAATGTGTATAGATTAAAATGTAATGAAGTATAATTATGTTCAGATTGCATTATAGGCACATCTTTTCCTTCAAAGAATATAACATAACTGATAACAGAAAACAGAACCATGGTGTTATAATTGCTGCAAGCCTTGCTGATTATTTGTCTTGTGCTTTTTCTGACTCTAACACGTGTTTGTGTTTATCTTCCCTTCCTGTCTTATTAAAGGTGACGATTAGAGGCATGGATATCACATAATCAGCTCTGAATTGCCAAGACCAAGTGTGATTTTCTACAAATGCTCGTCTCCTTGCAGACCAGTGCTGAAAAAAGCATGGATGAATCAGCCTTGTTGGACCTTTTAGAGTGTCCGGTATGTCTGGAGAGACTTGATGCCTCCGCTAAAGTCTTGCCATGTCAACACACATTCTGCAAACGTTGCCTGTTGGGGATTGTCAGCTCCCGGAGCGAGCTGCGCTGCCCGGAGTGTAGGACGCTGGTAGAGTGTGGGGTAGATGAACTTCCCAGCAATATTCTCCTGGTCCGACTGCTGGATGGAATCAAACAGAGGCCGAGGAAACCTGGGACAGGGCTACACACTGGGAATAGCACAAATGCATTAAGAGCACAAAGCAATGTAACTACTAACTGCGGCACAAGTGATGCACAAAGTAATCAGGGGGGACCTCAGAGGATACAAGCACGGAGCCCTCCTGTCAGGGTGAGTAAAATGCACAAAGATTATCTGCACATTCTACAAAAGGATAATAAAATGCTCTGTCATCTTTGCGTATGACTTGCCACATAACTCCATTGTTAACTTCTGGTAAACTTGTTGGCCACATAGAGACGTTTTTGTTCCCTAAAACACTTCTACCATTCTGCATGTCTATGCTGAGTAGGTCATACGTATATTTGAAATATGTTATTTCAATATGTAATTATACAGGATTAATATAGCGCCAACAGTTTGCACAGCGCTTTACAATATAAAGGGAGACAGTACAGTTGCAATACAATAAAAAAACAAGAGGGTTAAGTGGGCCCTGCTCAAAGGAGCTTACAGTCTAATAGGGTGGGGCAAGTGGTACAAAAGGTTTTAACTTTGGGGGTGATGAGCAGATGGAAATGAAAAATGTTTAATTAGAGGTGTGATAGGCTTCCCTGAAAAGATGAATTTTCAGGGATCGCCTAAAGGCAGCCAGAGTGGGGTATAGTCAGACAGTTTGAGGTAGAGAGTTCCAGAGGATGGGAGAGGCTCTGGTGAAGCCGTAGAGATTAGCATGGGAGGAGGAGACAAGGGAGCTTAAGAGCAGGAGATCATGAGAGGAGCGGGGAGGACGGGTTGCATCATATTTGGAGGCAAGATTGGTGATGCAGCTCAGGGCAGAGTTGTGAATAGCTTTTGTATGTTCACATTTTGAATTTAATTTGCTGGGCAATTGGAACCCAATGGGGGGATTGGTAGAGAGGAGCAGCGAGAACTGAGCGGTTGGCAAGGTAGATAAGTCTGGTAGCAGCATTCATAATAGACTGAAGAGGGGAAAGCCTACGTAGAGGTTGGCCTATGAGAAGGAAGTTGCAATAGACAAATATATGTATAGTTTTGGATAGAGTAGGGAAGAGTTAGACTCCCTATCAAGTTTTCATTGCTGTCTGTGTACCCATGGGGGGTTTTCACCCCACTATCTGTACTGGTGACCCTTATCACTATGGAAATCAAAAAGAGTTGTCCCCAGAACAATAGCCAAGAGGAAATCATTCGCTGGGAACACTCATTCTGGTGACCTCTGTCTTAAGCCAGACATAGATGGATCGAATCATGGCCGGTTCAGCAGGGACTGGCCGAGATTCGGTCCATTTATGGGCAGGCTGATTGCACTGAAGTCAATCCATTTCAGTACAACCAGTCTGTCAAATTTTACATGCGATTACTGCCAGTGGCTATAGCCACCAGCTGTGATCATTGTGTTCTGTCAGGAAGGAAGGCTCCCTGCTGGCAGAACACAGTAGTGCTGTGGAAAGGATACTCTTCCCTCACTCTGGGAGATTTCCTTTAACTTCCTGTTGTGTTCCTAGAAGATAAAACAAAGGAACACCTCCGCAATGGTATACAGACAGCCAAAAAAAAATCCTGATACCTGACAGCAGCTTACCCTTCTTTCTTCGTTCATAATAATAATTCTGTCTAGTCCAGAGTCCAGCTTTAAACACCCATAGACAATTAGTTACTTGGCTTTCCCTGCTTGGCTGCTGCATGAGCATTGTTGACACTCACCATACTGTAAAGAAGGAGGTAGTGTAGACAAAAGGTTTGTGCAGGTATCAGAAATAGAAGAGTTGTAAAGCTGAGTTCTAGCTGTTTACCCAGGAACACATAAAGTGCTGATTAGTTGGTATATGTTGTGATTTTTGAAACCTCCAGTTTACAAAGGATACCCCATTTCATAGTATGCTGGAATTCATCTTTAAGGCAGCTTTCTCACTGATCGACATGGGACTCAAAACTGGCAACCTGTTTTTGTTGTTGGTTTTTTTTTTTTTTTTTTTTTCCCCCTATAATAGGTTTATTTAAAAGTAAGACAATACAGACAATTTTGTTGTGTTTTTGTCCCATTTTTCCATTGATTCCAATAGGTAGTTGCGTTTTTTGGTTTGTTTTTTTTTTTTTTTTTTTTTTTTTACCAGACCAAACCTGCACCAAAATTGCAGCAAGCAGTACTTTGAAAAACATACCAGACCTGCAATGGAGCAGTGTGAAGAGTTCCATAGGAATAAATGGTCACACGTTTTTCTTCCGCTTTTTTTTTTTTTTTTTTTTTAACGCAAAAGCAGAAAAAAAATGGATCAGTGTGAAAGCAGCCTAAGTGGTCATGTTTTGGTTTGGACCAAAGTCTGCAGATCTATGCCTTGTAAGGCACTATTCACACTAGTGAAACTTAAATTGCACAGGATTGCATGATAATGGAAATCACATTGTTTTGAATGGTGCCCGGTCACCTCAATACAACTCAGCACAATGCAATTTTGGAAAAGGTGCCTGTGTTACATTAACGATTCCAGCGTGATTGTGCCCCCATAGAATACACAAACCACATCCAATTTGACCTACATGATTGCACTGAAAATCGGGTCAAAATCTGATCTCAGCAGTGTGAACCTAGCCTAACTCTACTAATATTCCAGCTGTGGTTATAGAGATCTACATTGTGTGCTCATCTCCGCTCCGTTCACGTGAGGCGTGCTGTGGAATCCTCATTTCTTTGAGCTGTTTTAGGCAATCCTGACACATGTCCCTTTGGGATGTTGCCCCAGGGCTTAGTTAAATCCACCCACCTTTGACACTGTTAATCTTGCTGCAGATTTGTTTGAATGTGCAAGGATTTTATGCTACAATGGCTTGTCAAGATAGAGAAACTTTTCGCTAGGGTGATGCCAAACATCTGTCCTGATCTGGTTATTACTTATTGAGAGCAGCTGTCTAGGAAGAGCGGGTTAAGCCTGGGTGTGGTGTCTTGTGTTCTACATAATGTTGTCTTTTTATTGCAGCACATATTCTACACTTTTACAACCATGCATCGTCTTTATATTAGCAGCTATGGGGCAAATATGTGACTTCAAATGGATGTTTAAACCATTCCTTCTTATGTAGAACAGGATATGGAACCTGCCTTCTTATAACAAAAACTCTGAGCCTCCATATCTGGGGAATTTTGGCTCGAAGCTATTCAATTGACGTGATCTCAGTGTGGCTTAATAAGTGAAAGGTGTGTAACATTGAGCTGAGATTTGGGGTATTTGGTATTACTTATTTTTTACATACTCGCTATGCAAATAATAAAACATCTGACGCCCGTGATTACATAGTTTTGTCACCTGCAGACAATCCTATGTTAAACCTACATTGAACCAGAAGCAATATAAACAGATATATTGTGATTGTTGGGCTGCTTAGTGGTTAGCACTTATGTCCTGCAGATCTGGGGGCCTTTTGGTTTGAATCTCGTCACTTGCCTGACAAAGGGGCTTTGAGTTTCCTCCAAAACGTTGCCTCTGTATGTACCTTGTGACCACGAAATAAAGCTTTGAACCCATTTGAGGAATCCTTGGTGTGCTGGAGACACTTCCTCTCATTGAATCGCGGCCAGGAAACCATCTGCTTGTATTTGCATGTTCTTCCTGTGTTTTGTATGGGTTTCCTTCGGTTTTCTGGTTTCCTCCAACACTTTCTGAAGACATGCTGGTAGGTTAACTGGCACCTGTCCAAATTGGCTTTAGCATGTTTGAACAAACTGGCTGTGCACATGTGTTCTGCATGCCTGTTCCAAGTTAGGGACTGATGTGACTGTACAATATATATGAAAAGCACTGCGTAAATTGATGGCGCTATATAGGTACCTGAAATAAACTAGGGAGGGTTGAAGGACGACCTGGTAACCAACCTAAAAAAAAAAAAATGACCAAACTTGCTAATGCCCCATCCTCCATGCTTTCCCTCTTTGCCGCTTCTTGTTCCCATCTCATACACTCCCTATATTCACCTTCTATACGTGTAGTCTCCCTATGTACTGCCTAAGTAGTGGTAGGCATGTGTGACCCCAACCACATTTAACTTGGGGCTCTCACCTCTCAATATTTTCCCTGTTGGGAGTTCTTCCCTTTATCATACATGATATACCTGTAACGTAGCTTGATATGCGCAATCAGGAATTGCATGTGGTGGCTTCATTATACTTGTAATTGGTTACGTATCCATGCCTGTGTTTTCTATTGTTGATGTGCTTTGCCTGAGCAATACACTACTTGTAACCCCCCCCCCCCCCCCCCCCCCCCTTTTTTTTTTCTCTCAATATGAAAGTCAAAAAATTTAGATTGAACAAAATTTGTCAGTTTTATAGAAGGGTATTTCAACCATATTGGTCATGGTGCCAGAGAGCTGATCCATAGAGGTGAAAACAATTGAATGAATATCTACATACATACGTTGTGATTGTATGGTGGTCTTGTCATTGTACAAAATTTCCCAGAATGCAAAAAAAGCGTGTCAACTGCATGCAAATGCATATAAATATGCGCAGTAGATGTGCAGTTTCTCATGTGAATTGGCCGTTTGATTCTTTTGTTTGATGTAGCAGTAGAGGGGACTGATAATTTTGCAGCTGCATGAAATTAAAAATGTTAATGGTGACTAAGAATACGTATTCAATTTTTTCCCTAGGTTGTAGTCATATTTGTAGCCCAGCTTTTCAGTGTTGCATAGAAACTAGGCTTTAACACGTGAATGTAGAAAATGAGACATTTTGAGCCATTCCATAGCATTCTCAAGGTCTCTGGTACACACCACTTTTCCTTTATGTAATGTTTTTTTTACAGCTTGTGAAGTTTAAACTTTGCACGATGGTGTCATAAATGGATGTTTACGGATCATTTTTTCCTCATTGCATAAAATATGATTGCGTAAAAAAAAAAATTACCTTCCCTCAGTTACGTGAAATCTGCCACAATAAATGTCTGTTTGGAAGATAAATGGAGTCAGGTGAGGATACACCTATACAGCACGTACTGGGTTTACAGATTCTCTGTGGCTATTTAGGTAAAAGTAACATGCCCATAAAAACCTAGTGCAGGATGGATTATTTTAGTTTTTTTAAAGTACATCTAGTGCCAAAACATTTTATTTTTTTTGCTAGAGTAGGGAAGGGTAATACTCCCATCAGGATT